GGATTTTAAGGACGCATATTTAATTGGATTTTTGATAACTGGTTCCTACTTTTTGGATTCGGCTGGTTGCTGGTTTTATCTACAATCAAGGAAGTCGTCGGCAGCAAATTTAGACCCGATCACGCTGCTTGCCTTTATGATGGCTTGGTTCATGTCTCGAGTACCCAGACTCAAATGCTTTGGGCTGAATGGATCAGATCTTGGGGATTTTACTCAGTCATGTTCCATTGGTGTGGCCATGTATTTTGACATTTCGGAACCGAGTGGAACAACACAGACTCAAAGTAGATGTCATTAAGTTCTGCCTGTCCCCAAAATAACTGTGTGTTTATCTAAATTTGGTTCCCTTGGCAGGCAGCACGGTGGCACAACTGGTACAGTTGCTGCCTCTCAGCGAGCAGGTCCTTGGTTCAAAACCCGGTCCAGGGGCCATTCTGGGTGGATTTTGCATGTTCTCTCCATGCATGCGTGGGTTTTCTCCGGGTACTCCGGTTTTCTCCCACAGACCAAAAACATGCATGTTAGGCTGATTGGTAACTCTAAAATTGTCCCTAGGTGTGAGTGAGAGAGTGAATGTTTGTTTGTCTCGTTTGTCTCTATGTGGCCCTGTGATTCACTAGCGACCCATCCAGGGTGTCCCTCGTCCCTCGCACAGTGATTGCTGGACATGGGCACCGGCGACCCCCGTGACCCAAAATGGAAGAAGTGGGTAAATATAATGGATGGATGGATGGATGGTTTTCTTGGCTGGCCTTGAAGGCCATCTTATCTGAATTCACTTGGAGAAAATGTGATCTGACGCTCACCACCCACTCCCTGAGGAATTTCCAACTGATAACCAGATGGAACCAGCTGAATAAACTTTGTGTCATCATTTCAGGACTCTTGGATTCTCATAGACGTTATTCTTGGACGTTCCTCGACATACCTCGAGAATGTTTATGGATCTCACCAGAGGACATTGACTGATTATCTTATCGGAATTCTTACAGTGACCTCGAGAGCATCTATAAGCATTGTTGACCACTCTCGTCTCCATTTGCAGAATGTCTACGTCACAATGTGCTGTTTGTGCGAGGTGATTTTTT